CGACCAAATCTAAACACGCCTCCTTCACCTTAAATACTACTAATCCTATCCGTGGTTACGCGAAACCTTGTCTGCCTTAGCGACTGACTCGCCGTTACACCCCCACAATATAAAGGTAATTCTAGGATGAACAAAGATTTTCTAACGTTTATGTTGGTCTATGCTGTACTTGAGTTATGCAATTTACATACATGATGATGCGTAAATCTTATTTATCAACTATAATTTAGTACAGTATAGAGTTTAAAGCTTATTTATCCAAGTTCGTTTATATACACGATTTGAACAAGGTATACTGTCGCTATTTTATAGTTTTTATATATTACTAATTTACCTATGATCGCCAGTTACAGTACTACAGTATAAAGGAAACACGTGATCTGGAATTATCATAATTATTTGATAAATTATTTATTTTAATTTTTATTAAAATTTTATCAAATTATCATTTTGTATGCACAATAAGAGCAACTAAGAATATGCAAACAAAAACGTTCGAGTATTAATTAATACAATCTTAATTTATAACTTGATCCGTACGTAAAGATTAATTAGCGTACACAGGATAATTTGTGCCGGTTTAGGTTGAAGTCTTTCTGTTACCACCGTTGATACTTCTATCGATATCCAAATTCTACCAATCCACGCTTTTGATTTTGTCTCTAATTTCATAACCCATAACCTCTCATAACATAACTTAAACAATTGGTTTACTCCGATTTAACTTTAATACTAGTTAAAAGAAAATGCTGTAGAAATGATGATTTAAGTCGATTAAATTAGGTTATTAACCTAACCTACGTGCTTCATTTAAAACTCTAGTCATCGAGATCATCAATTGTGTGAACGTGAAAATTACATTGTGCATTGTGTAATATGCATCTGCTTATTTGGAATGACACTTTTTTCAAACTACATGTACCTAAGAATTACAGTATAATGATATTTTCGTTCTGGATTAGCTTTTTATTATGAAATGACTAAATAGCGAGTACTTGTCCTACATATTTTATTAAGATATAAATAACTTCAATATGTAATGTATATATACCATATGTTGTATGCCCTATGCAATTGAAGAAATGGAGAACGAAAAGTACGTTTTTTTTAATTTAAATTCGTAGATTGACAAAGACGTTTTGTCACACTCACCATCTTTTCAACTTTTTCATTACCATTTTCTTTTTCTTAGCAGTACACATAGCGGAAAGTAGGACTCTTGAATGTTAATAACAAAATGGTTCTCCGTTCTATGATAATATTTATCTATTGGTTGCTATAATAATGTGTAGCATAACACATACAAGTATTTTCTACTTTGATTAGTAGTCAATATTGTTGGGGGTGGATGATAGTTGACCCTGATTCACATAAAATAGTTTACGACACTGGTTACCTAAATTGCACCGGCACTTGTAAAGTACTTGATTATAACAGTCCATCACCAACCGGGAGGTTCAAAGTTCAAATACACGAGTACAATATTTCTAAGGATGAGGATGGTGAACGGGATATTTGTTATGAGATGAGTGGTTCTAAAGCTACTTGGGATCTTGGCGAAGTTGATTGTAATAAATTTTCTGGAGTTACCCCTTGCCCGAATTTTAAATAATATATTTAAAAGTATATAAAATTTCATATCTAATTATTGATATAAACATTTTTATTATATCTTTGATATTTGAAAAGAATTACGAAAAAAAATTTTTTTAAAATAATGTTCTTTATTGCAAATAAAAATTTTATTTTTTTTTATTTATTAATATGCATTATATATCTACATTATTTATATAATTTTTTTTTTTTTTTTTTTTTTTTTTTTACTTTAAATATCGTTATGGATTGGGTATGCGACATGGTGACGCGTCGCAAAACTATAGCAAAAATGAGATATATGCTGTAGTAGCGGGTAATGGTTGCTAGCAACGTGGACGTATAGGATTCGATCGTTTTAGCAGTAGTATTCTGAGAACCTCCTTACCTTATAATTAATAAATTTGTATTGCGCACCTAATTAATAAACAAACCTTTTTCCTGAAACGATGGCTACCTTTTGTCTTGTAGGGACACGACTAGAAGATTATGTTGCTAGGAAGAGATTGACAAGTGCGAGAAGATTGGTCAAATAACATGCCTCTCTAGGTTTAAACCCTACCTTATTAAGCAAAATTTCGGATTATCAAGTGACTTGCTGGTGACGACAACAATAGTTATTTTAATAAATAATAACTGGCAAATTAATAAAAATAATTATAACAATGTGGCTAAAAATAATATTAATCATCGATTTGTTTCGTTTATGTCTAGTAAAAAATTACAATAGTGATTTTTATCGAATATTTAAATGGCTTTGCTCGATAGCATGGCACTCCATGATTTCCGATTCTGTAATTATTGGGCGAATATCTTGAATACTTGGTGCATAATTAAACTATTGAGTAATGTGACCAACAGAAGAATCAGAGTTTGGTTGGAGTATTTTGAATTCTTAACTAGAGAGGGATTTAAGAATTGTTAAGCCTTTCCCAAAACATTAACTGTACGTAAGGCTTACCATTACATGAGTGAAGACAATAGGAATAAACGAAAGATTTTTCTAAAACTTAAAATTTCTTAAAAAATAGTGTTGGGACCGCGGCTCTAGGATCGGTTTGGTTCTAACAGTTTCTATAGAAGTTTATTTAAGAGCTATCAATAGAACCACTTACAGTTATATTTAATGGTTTTTTTATTAAAGATATGCTGTTGGATTCCTCTAGGAATTCATGGTTCTAAATTTTGTTTTTTAATTGCAGGACGATTAGCATCATTATTCGGAACTTACATTTATGTTAACACGTGCTGCAGTGGCCCTACATTATGTATGCATTACACTACAATATTAAAGAAAAAAAAATTGTTTTGAAAATTCCTAAAATAAGCTTTTTTATTGAAAGCTCGTTGGATCAGGCAATCAAATGTCCGTTATCAAAAAACATTTGCTCTTGACTCAAGCTATTGGCTAGAGAATGATAGTCGAATAATGTGGCCTTTATTTCTTGTTCAATGCTGCACCAAGAAAAAGCGACTTGAATTATGACTTTCATGATCGTCGGAAGACCACTAAATGCAGTAGTACGCAAAAATCATACATTTTAATAGTGATCATGAAAAATCAAAACAATTCGATTTTTTAATTTATATTACCATTGAACTAATATGATTACGGAATTTTGCATGACAGAAAATTTTTTTTTCCCGTTTTATACTTATACTCGGTACATTTTTTCAACAAAGATCCTTTGAATTAAAGTGATTATGGGAGTTTTTTTTTTTTTTTCATATTTTTTCCCTTTTGGACATACCTCGTCTTTCATGAAATATTCATTACATTAGCAAAGATCTAATTTATTTTACTATTGAATGGAGATAATTATAGAAATTTTTGGTCTGTTTTTTTTTTTTCCTTTTTTAAATTTATCCTAAAGACTCGATTATTTTTTCTTTGAATCAACCTAATTATGGGAATTTTCATGAGTCATCACCTTTTTTATAAAATTATCTCATGCATTTCATAAACAATGACATTTTCCGAAATGCAATTAAATCATTGAACGCCACGAGAGCGAAGAACACTGTTCATATTCAACCCGAAAGCTAGATACTTCAAGATGCATGCTTTTAAGCTTTAATGAAAAATGCCATTTAACGAATTTTATAATGAGAGATGAAACAGCTGATCTTTATTATCACAATTATTACATATTCAGAGTCTTACCGGTTTTTCGATTTTTCGCAATTTACCTTTTCGAATTACCGCTATTATAATGACGGTTACACCGCGTTACAATTGTTCAAACGTTATTTATAAGATGACTCCATGGAAACGTAAAGCTTTTGATTAGGTTCCTGAAAAGAAGTCTTTCTTACAAAGTTTATTATTGTGTCGGAAATAATGAAAGAAGATCAAACCGGCGCGTCTAGAGAAATATATAATTTTAGGTATCATGATGAACGCGGTAAAAAATTGATGAAAGAAAGTAAATAAATAAATAAATTATCCCTCTTTTTCTGACAATCACATAAATCAAACGTTCGTACTAATAAAAATTCATAATAGAGCCTCGAAATGGCTTTTATTATTATTGTGAAATCCTCAAACTCTATTACCATGAAGGAATCAAATGTAAGGACGTATCCACCTTGTGGA